TACCGGGACCAGAAAATTGTTTTGGTCTCGATGCCCATCTCTAGTTTTACCCCAAAATCTCGTAATTTTTCCCTTAATCGTTTTACGACGAAATTTCGTGTTTTATATCCCGATCGGGATATAAATTCGACTAAAATTAGTTAAAGGTTTTTGTTTAAAAAAATAGTTGCTGGGTGCTTGATGCACTTTTGATCAAACACAACAGAATTCGATGTAGTTTTTCGAGCTCTTTCGAATGATGAAGTCAATTTTACCCCAAAATGTCGTCATTTTCCCCTTAATCGTTTTTACGACGAAATTTCATGTTTTATATCCCGATCGGGATACTACTTTTTTTCTATATCCTGATCAGGATATAGGAGGTGTCCCCTTACTGTCTGACCACATTTTGAAATATAACTGTTTCTTCAGCATACAGTTTCGAATTTCAAATATCAAATTTATAATTGAAATAGCAAAGAAAGAAAAGAGCTTGACTTTTTTCAAACACATCGTTCAATCGAATTCAATAAACTGAACAAACACAGAGGTTCGGTAAGGATTCCAGGCGAAGAGTGGTTGAAAATGCATAGATCTATTTTCCAAATTAGTTTTACGTAGTACAGATAAACTAGTCCTACATTATAGATCATTTCAGAATTCATTACTAGTTACTTATGGTAAAACATAAACTAGTCGAAACCTTTTTATTGGATTTATAGTTCATACACTGTACTTAGAAAATCAACCCAAATTTGCGTTCTCGTTTTCTTCCTTTTGTGCTCTGCAAAGAAAGTATATTCTTGAACTAAAAATGCTATAGCTAACTTTGCAAATAAAGGTCGCGCAAAGCTTGAAGACATGTCAATTTGACTAGAACTGTATAAGCTACAATTTGTGATAGATGAAAATTGTTTTTTATTTTGGATTTTAATATCTCGGTGTAACCTTTCGAGTGATCATAGTTTTAATTAGTCTAGTAAGGTGCTCCAAATGCAAAAGTGGAGCAGAATTTGTTTCTCTTTGATTTACACATAGTTGGCGGAGTAGATTCTGGCTATGTCATTTATAATTTTTTTAGACCAAGTTTTGGGTGACAAATCTTGAAAGTACAAGTTACTACCTAAAAAACGAAAATTTAACGACTTTCGCGAAAATTGACGATTTCGCAAGTTTATCTTTTCTCAAAGTTGTTGAGAATGTTTTATTTAGATTCAGCATCAGAAACTGAGTATTACTCCGCGAGCTCTATCCAAGTGTGTGTGAATTAAAGAGAAACAAATTCTGCTCCACTTTTGCATTTGAAGCATCTTACTGACTTTCATCAACATGAATTTCATGACGTTTCATACTTTAATGACGAAAAACTTTATTATGTTACAAGCACCTATTACTACAACATCCAAAATGATAAATAGAACATCAAATTCTTTTAAGAACACACTGAAAATAGAAATCGTCTCGAAATCTCCGTTCTGTCTTCAGCTAGAGTTCTTCACCATGTTACGATACATTCAAATACTTGATTAACCAAGAAAGTTACAACAGATTTATAACGCAAGACAACAGCAAACGAACGATGTTTTAAACAAACAATCCACTTTAAGCTCGTCCAAAATTTAATATTTGTTCTGCTAATTTTGTACCTTGTATTCTCGCTTTTACTTTTTCATAACATGTTTTTCTTGATCTTGATCGGTCATCAGCAAACGGAGAATAACCGCAATCATCTGTTGTTCCCATTTGTTCTAATGGTATATATTGAGCAGCTTCCAAAATTCGATCACGTACAGCTTGCGCAGTTTCGATTTCCGGATTGATGGGATCGATGACACCAACGAAAATTCGATGATGAGGTTTCATATATTGTTTGATACAGTTCAATATTTTCACACGATCTTTTTCCGATGATAATTGTAAATAAAAATTTCTCAGATGTAATTGAAATAAATCAGGTAATACCAGTGTATAATCAATTTTGTATGAATGATATGAATCACAATCACCACCTAAACAATAACAGAGAAAGTTACATGTTTTCATGTTCGTATTAAAATAAATCTATACCTGGGCACACATGAACACCAATTTTTTTTTGCTCTTCCGGCGTAAAACGATCCAAAACCCGATTATTGATGCTAATAAATTCTTTCAGTAGGTGACCGGTAGGATCTATCTTCAATGAGAGACGAGCTTCAGTGAAATCTAATTGAACAGTATGTGCACCATGAGCTGTACAGAAAAGAATAAAATTGATTATTATTTAGATGATATGTATTTGACTTACTTAAGCACAATCGAATATCTTTTTCACATTCATTACATAAATCTTGAAGAAATTCTTCTCTCGAATAGTTTTCAATTGCCGTCATGTTGAATAATGTAGGTAAGTAGACCATGGATAATGCTGATGCTGTAATAATAGCTTGTTTAATCGGCTTTTTCGTGAACTTTTTGGCAACATCTAGACGTATATTTTTGACATACAGTTTGATACATTTTGAAGCGGAACGTAATCGCAATAATATTTATAATGCAAGACGGCGGAAAAATACTCCTCGAATGGGGCTAGAACCCAGGATCTACTAGTTACAGGCCTGAAACTGAGAAAGAGACTTCAGAGGCCTCAAAAGGTATTAAATTATATTTCAAAAATTTTCATCGTATTATGCTTTAAAAACCAAGAAATGTTTTCCGTACTTCTAATACACCACAGAAAGAGTGCAAGTAAGTTGCAGCCTTTGTGCTTAAAAATGCATCCATTATTGATCGATCATATAACGGATGGGTCAGAATAAATGACCGCCTTGGTATTTTCTCAATATCTCTTTCAGTTTTCATAGGTTCGAATTGAATTTTTTCTCAAAAGATTCAGCATTCAATTCTCAATAAAATCATTTACAAATAAGTGTCATAGAGGTAAAAGCAAAAAAGACATCGTAGTAATACTGCGAACATACAACATCAACAACGTACAAAGCACTTCTACTCAAATGGATTTTCGTTTCTTCTTACTAGTAGAACACTGTTCAAAAGGTTCAGAGTACCATTTATGGTACAATCATGTGCACGCTATCTGGTGGACACATAGGAAAGAACACTTCAACCAAAAATATTGATAGAGGATTCAGTTTTTTTTCCAGCCAAATAGATCAACGCGAGAATGCATAAATACAAGGAACTGTATTTTGTGCTTGAAAGTTGTTTATGTTGCAGGTTCACAGTATTACTACGATACCTTTTTTGCTTTTACCTCTATGCCACCCATTTGTATATGATTTTGTGGAAAATTTAACGCTGATCTGAGAGAAAAAATTCAGTTTAAACTATGAAAACTGGAAGAGATATTGAGAAAATACGGAGGCCATTTATTCTGCCTCATCCGTTAAAACAAAGGATTAATGCGATTAGACTATGCTTTGGTAGTCCAGTGGTTAAAGCTTTCGGCCTGTAATCAGAGGATCTTGGGTTCGAGTTCTATTCGAGGCGCATTTTTCCTCCATCTTCCATTCTAAGCCTGTAGATCATCTCTGCCATTTTGTTTCGTGAGATTTTTGGTTGTTCAGTTATCTCAAAAGAAACTAGATATATATATCCAGGTGTAGCATCAATAACCAAAGAACTAATTACAGCACCTGTTAATAATACTGCAAAACATTTGAAAAGTGGATTGAAAGGATGAAACTGTGTATCGTACAGTATGATAACTATCTCTAACACTTATTGTAGATAGGTCAAAATTAAATTTTTTTTATGAATAAATAGTGAGAAGTGACAGAACTTTTTGACTGACCTAAATATTTGTGAGCATACGTTGCATATTGAAATGGTGCTTTAATTAGACGCGGTAATGTTCGAACATGGCCATCGCTAAATGTGATTTTAAAACATTTATCATCAAAACGATAAGATTTATTAATTAGCTCATAAATCGGATAGGTCAGAAACGATGGTTTTGTTTGTTCACCATCAGTAAGCACTTCTGAATGAGTTAGTTCATCCAATTCCCGTAGAGTAGTTTCAGTTGCATTTAGTTGAGTTTGATACAGAACTTCACGTGGTACAACATCACTTTCATAGCCAATTGTCGCTTCAAGTAAATTGTCGGGACGCGGAATTGAACCGATTCCTTCGGATGGAATCGAAACCTACATTTATATAAACAAAGTGGGTTACAAAAGATCAAAACTACGTCACTTCACTCACCCATTTATGCTGTGTCATGCTCTAAACTTTTGATTCTGACTTGTGTATAGAAATGAAATATATTTATGAGTCCAACGTTGATTCGTGCAAAGGAACAATTCGGATTGGAACATTATTATCTTCTCGCACAACATTGTTAATTAAGTTTCACTTAAAATAGCAACAAGAAAATATAAACTTGACATCGTGAAATAATTTATGTATTATTACATTCTCTATTCTGGATATAATTTAGGTTATTTTATTTATTTTAATGCGTGTGCTTGAACATGAATACAATGATGTAATCTTATGATTAAGTTCAACTAATTCCAGAACAAAATTGAAGAATAAAAATAATAAAAATACTTTTGAACGTTTTCACTTTTTTGTTCTGCATATGCAGACTCTGGAATTTTTTCAATATTATCGCATTTATCATACGAACGTGAATAGATTTCGATGATCAGCGACGCTTTATCAGCTAGATGTGTGTCGAACCATCGGTTACCAACATGATATCTGGACATCCAATTATCTGTGTAGTCACTTTTAACATTACGTCACTATGCTGGATTTTATAATCGTTTCGATCCAGTTTAGTTCCGAGCATTGTCAATAAGTTGACGCTCAATACATTAACAATTTTATTTTCACCTGCCAAAAAGCAAAAAAGATCGAACTTTTTGGATTATTTGTCTAGATTCACCTTTATTTACGCCAAGAGGCATGTGGGGATGAATCTAGCTAAAGAATCCAAAAACTTAGGTCGTTTTCCTTCGGTGACATTTGCAGCAATTCGTTTTAAAACTCGTGCCTTCATTCGACGTAGTTCTTTTCAAATGGAATGACATCGTCACTATATCGGTTTCTTTGACATCTGTAGAAATTATAAAGTTTCGATTTTTGACAGTTTAATATGTATATTTGCAGGACAGATAACCAAAAGGAATAGATGAAAGGAAGTAAAATAATTGTCTTTGTTAATGATAGCATTCATTTGGAATATATCAATAATGTGCCCACACTTTTCTTCGTCTGTAATTTTAAATACAACTATCATGTTTTTTTTTCTAGAGAATCGGTCTTTGAGATTTTTACATATTCGGAATCAGTGCGATGAGTTACGTTGTACAGCGCAAAAATCGCATCTGCGTTCCGACACTTTTTGAACTCGGATTCTACACTACGAATTTTCACGGTATATTACTAGGGGTGGCACTTTCTCTTTCCTATCTCCTTTTTTTATTAACAAAAGAAAAGTTTTTCTTTTCTTTATAACAAAAAAGAGTAAAGATATAATGGATATCTTTTACTTTCCTAAGAAAAAGGAAAGTGGCGCCTTTTCTTCCCCAAAAGAAAGAAAAGCAATATCTTTTCTTTTTGCAAGAAAAAGACTTTCTTAAAAGGTGCAAAAAAAAGTCTTTTTCTTGCAAAAAGAAAAGATATTGCTTTTCTCTTTTGGAGAAGAAAAGGTGCCACTTTCCTTTTTCTTAGGAAAGAAAAAGATATACATTATATCTTTACTCTTTACTTTTGAAATAAAAGATATCACTTTATCGTTACTCAGGAAAGGAACGGGAAAGTGTCACCCCTATATATTACACTATGATGTAAAGCAAGAAATAGAGAAAGAACAAATTTTATCGTTTTATCCAAAAGAAAGATTGCACTCACTATGAAATTAGTGTATATTCTGGCAACTTCCCAGATTAAAACATTAACGAATTTGAAGGTACCCCTCTCCAATTTTTCGAGCAATTTGAAGTACGCAAATTGTACTCTATGCCAAGCTATATTCTGGAAAAAGGTTTCTTTTAGTTTTTAAGATGTAAAGCTGTCAATATCACGAGTTAAAGTTCGTGAAATCTATGGACTTTACTTTCATTTTAGAAATTGCATGAGCTTTTTTGAACTTTCGTGTCTCTATAATCCACATACTATTCCAGTTAGATGAAACGGGGCAATCTGAATGAAATGCAAATAAACCCGTTATATAATGTTTGTTTAGAAACAGTATCCTCTCTACTTTTTACATTAATTTAGAGTTTATCTGTATAGAACGCTATTTCTTGTCGAAGAACAAAATAAGGAAAGACAGAATTCTATATTTTTAATGACATGTTGATTGATTCTATGTTCGAAAGAAGCAGTGCTGGCTGTGAATTTATTCTGCATTTTGATCACTTCGCGCAATTAAAAAGGACCCTTCTCCACTTTTTATACTAATCTGAAGTACACAAGTTGTACTATATATTGCTGTATTTTCCAGAAAAAAGTCGCTTTTAGTTTTTAAGGTATAGAGCTGTCAATGTCAAAGATTAAAATTAGTAAACTCTAACGACTTCACTTTAATTTTAGAAATTACACGAATTTGGAATACCTAACATAACTTTCTTGAACAGTTTTAGAAACATCCTAGTCCAAGTTCAACATTTATTTTCGCGTACATATTACAATTCGCGTACTTCAAACTGTCCGAAAAACTGGAGAGGGGTAAGGCGCGCGTAATTCAAAAATCAAGTACTATTTTATTAGCTTCTTTATATATGATTCGATAGAGAATTTGAAGCTGATTTCTAATGTCACCTTTTTAGGCTTCCCAGTGCACGTTTGCGCGTCGAAAATTTGAAAATACGGGAAGGGTCATAAAATCCGAAAAACTTTCCCGTTTCGAAAAATGTTAAATACTTTTCTTCCTTTTATTTTGAAACTCTCAAATAGCATTTTTCTAATTCAGCGTTGAAAATTGAATTGCGAAATCTGTTTTTGATGCTTCTCATATGTAGTGTCATTGCACGAAAAATACAGCTTCAACGATATCTCCAAAGCAGAGACCTCGTCGGAAAAAGCTATCTAGATTTTTTTGGTGAAAGATTGAACGTTTATTCTTGCGCCATTCGATCGGTCTTCATTCGTACTACAAAAAGTATAACTCGTCTTTTTTGAAATTCTTCTCCATTGCTGAGAAATTTCACTTTTGCTAAATCAGGACCGAAAAAATCGGAATGCTACCCGTAATTCTCAATTTTCTCCACCAGAACTCACTTTTCATGCAATAAAAGTATCATACTGAGAGTCAGCGTCAAAAACTGAGTCGAATGATGTATGATTTGAAAGTTTCCGTTGCGTTTCATTTTTTGGTGAAAATCTCAATAAATTTCGTAACACACAAAATCAAAAGTGAGACTTTCACCAAAAAATGAAACTCAACGGAAACTTTCAAATTAAACTGGGAAGTTGCCAAAATATACACACTAATTTCATAGTGAGTGCAATCTCTCTCTATAGTAGGAAAAAACCATTAAACGGCTAAAACGCGTAATTGTCACCCTCAGCTGCGTGGGTTGAGCGATATTTTTTCTCTCAAATCAGCCTTGAAAGCACATCATTAGACGCAGCGTCAGTATTTGAGGAGAAACAGAGCCCAAAAGTTGAAAAAATGTAATTCCGTCACGCGCGTTTAAGCTGTAAAGCAAAGAAAAATGAAACATAAAAGAGAATGGGAAAAAAGCGGCATCATTGGTGTCATCATACGGTTGAATATAGTGTAATATACCGCGAAAATTCATAGTGGAGAATCCGAGTTCAAAAAGTGTCGGAACGCAGATGCGATTTTTGCGCTGTACAACGTAACTCATTGCACTGATTCCAAATATGTAAAAATCTCAGAGACCGATTCTCTAGAAAAAATAACATCAAATTTTGATATGGAATCATCAACACAACGATCTTGCACATATTGTTGTGACTTAAGGTCCTCCATCAGATCAGAAACCTATCTGAATCCAGATAGGTCTGCTCTAAACCAAACTTTCAGGGAATGTTGACCATGTGATAGCTAAAATTCTTGTTGTTGCGCCACTTGCAGTTATTGGTGAGGGGGCGCCACAACACGGATCAAAAACAGGCTACCACGTACAACAATTCTCATTCCAGGTAAATGATACATTCCTCGATTGTTTTTTTGTTTTTCAGTCGATTATCAATGTTGATAGAAGCTTTATTGTGTCAGAATACAAGCGGAAAAAGAATCTGTTATAGTATTCTAAACTAAAACTGTCGGAAAACACAAAATCAGTTTTGTACGAATAGAGATTGGAATACATGCACTTAGCTAAACTATAGAAGCTAAATCCACTGTTCTGTGTCTGTATTCTGTACAACGATTGAAGCTGTGTGCAATCGACTCGATGTTATCAGTAGTCATTTTTTTGGTTATGTTTTTTTGTATTCTGTTTTTAATATAAGCTTTATTTTTTTTAAACGACTTTACTGTGGGTGATGTAACAGCACCTTCAGGAGGGGTTAAATACCAGTCTCAGTTGTTTGAAAAATAAATGATTGTAGAACAGTTTCTGTTCTACCAAAGGGCGTTTCTACTATTCTCGAATGATTAAGATGGCTTGATCTACCGGACTGATCCTGTTGGGTAAAGTTTAGTGTAAACAAAGGAGAGAGACCCTTACGGATTTCGATTGAGGATTATGGAAATCGGCTTTAGTTAAGGCAGTTTATAAAAAAGATCTCCCTTACTCTGATCCAATTATCGCCCGATTTTATTATTATCGGACGCCAGTAAAGTTTTAGAAATGTTAGTCCAACAAGCACTTCTAGGTCATTTGGAGCAAACAAATGTTTTTTATTGTATATAGTTTGGTTTCCGTCCCCAGTCTAGCATCATTGATGCATCCTTTATGTCATAACTGAGTTAAATAAGCATCTTGAAAAAAGAAATAAGGTCATAGGGACGGTGTTTAATTTCTTAAAGGCGTTCGACACGATATCCCCATCAGTTATTTCTCACAAAATTGCCACCAGCAGGCAGTAAAATTCTGACATGCTTGGAAGGTAGTGCGGCACTGAGTATTATTATTTGTGCGGAATCACAGAAAGAAAATTCTGTCATAACAAAATTTTATTTCAAAACGATTCTTTTTCCATTGGATTACTCATTTCAGAACGATCTAAAGGTGGGTATGTCATGTGAAAGGAAAAAACAGTCCCCTTCACATGGACAAATATTTTAGTGTCAGCTACTTCCAATTTTGCTACTATTACCACGCTTTTTTTTTCTTCTTCCAGATGTAAATTCTAAGATGCTAATTGTCCTTGTACAGGTGGACACCGTTTCACTTTCACATGACATATGCACCTTTACATCGTTCTGAAATGAGTAATCCAATGGAAAAAGAATCGTTTTGAAATAAAATTTTCTTATGACGGAATTTTCTTTCTATGGTTTCGTACAAATAATACTCAGTGTCGCACTACCTTCCAAGCATGTCAGAACTTTACTTTGCTTATCGTAACAATGAAATTGATAAAGCTAAGAAATATCTTGAAGAGCTGTCAGGCGCTGATATAAACCGAAGGGAATCGAATGGAAGTACAGCTTTACATGTTGCTTGTTATTATGGAAATGAAGATATAGTAAAGCTGTTATTACAGAGTGGAGCTAGCCAAGCAATACGAAACACGAGGTTTGACTTAACGGTATATCAAGAAGCTCGTTCACATAAGATAAGAAAGCTCTTTGAACGTCCAGATGATAGCGATCGCTTTATTTGCTACTTAAGCACAAATGAATGGACATTAGTTGATATCCATGTTGCTGAGGCTAGCAACAAATTTCGTGACTATTTGAAAAGTATATTCGATAAATCAGATCTGAAGGATATGATTTCCACGATAAGCGAGTTTTATATCGAAGACACAAGACAAATATCATCAAGATATGTGGATGTATCAAATAGTTTAGGAAAGACGATATACGGTGAATTACTAACAAGTGCATTGATAGACAGAAAACACACAAGGCGACTTTCGTACGGCGCGATTTCGAATAAAAATGGTGCCATAATTGATTGGTTTCTTACTAAAGCGGTAGATGAAGTAGATCCAATTTTTATTGTTCAGGCCTACACATCAACAACAAATTTTTATCAAATAGTCAACAAACATTTATCACTTCGATTATTAGATAATTTTAAATGGGATATCAGTAACGCTTTTCTTCGACCATTCAGGCGTCTTGTTATCGACGTTTATGATGAAGAAGAAGTAGCCGGTCTTTTTGCTGCTATTTTTATACATTGTCCGCTACTTGAACCGTACAGTTTTGTGAGACAATGTTTTAGGGGCATGTTAATATCAGAAGATGATCTTAAAATATATCATGTTGGAAGCCTAATCATGAATAAAACATTCTTATCTGCCTCGAAACAGCAAGCAGTAGCAAAACTGTTTGCTGGCGAAGGACAGACAAGTAATTTGAGACAAACCCCCGATCAGAAAAACATCCAATGGTCAGCATTATGTACTTATAACATAAAAAGTAACCGCAGTGCTTTGCAAATAGAGTCAATATCGGAAGTGCAATGTGAAGAGGAAGTTTTAATAATGCCTCTGTAAGAATCTGATATTTATTACGTCCGATAACCTACAAAACAATTGGCAATGAGGAAACAATTATTAAGTGTTTTTCTTGTACGTCGTATGTGAATAGTTAGATGTGCATTTGTAGTCAGTAATGTTAAATTGAACGACAAGAATAAAAGTAATATTATGATCGAAATTGAACTGAACGAATGTGGAGAGAAGCAATGGATTAACAATATGTCTGCTGATTTTCACATTTGGTTTTCTAAAGTAGGAGAACACAAGGTGGAAAAAAACCACGGATGTTCAAAATGCAGCCATGAGGATTGTAATGCGTGCGACTATATAATATAAACCGATCGATTTAGATGTTCAGCTACAAAAACGTTTTATAAAATTCAGCGAGAATTCAATTGTGGTTCAGCAAATGTCTGTTATATGATCCAATGCAGGGAATGTACAGATCGATTCATTGGGCAAACTAACGAGACTTTGAGAACATGTGTTAAAACTTATTTATTTATTTTATTTATTTTATTTCTACTCCTACTCTTTTTATGACTTATCATGCGGGTATCGTTTTACAGAGCTATACAATCCTACGCAATACAATCCTATTGGGAATCTTCTACGGACGGTCTAGTTTTTTTTGCGAATGGTAAAAGTCGCAGGTCGATAGCTCTTTTCCTCCAAAAGATATACGCAAAACATCGGAGTTCGTTATTCATTGAAACAAATAATACTCTGATCGCATAATACCGGAGTGAATCCTGGTATTAATTAGGATACACAGATTAGAGATTATAAAAATACCATGTATTATTTTATTATTATGCACGGTGTATGCTCTTAAAAATTTCACTTCAGGTGCAACTGAAAATCACTGTCGAAATTCCGGTGAATTTTCGACAATTGTCGAAGTTCATTGTAAATACGACAAATTGTCGAAACTGTTGGCGGCTGTGCTCTGTATATTCGACAATACTGCGAAAATCCTTCGGAGTTTCGACTGACAAAATTCCAGGTGGCGAAATTCTACGATATCGTTCTTTCACGTATGTAACGAACGAATTTTTAGCCTTTGAACCAAAGAACAAAAGAGTTTAACCAAAATAAATTCCCCTTTTTCACACGATTGAATAGCACTATCTATATGATTTTTAACAGTGGTACGATTGAAATTATACAGTTGCGATGTAAGTCGAGATATTTCAGTCGTGCTGAAAGAATTCCGAAAAAAAAGAAAACATGAAGAAATTGAATTAGTTTACTTTGATTTAGCATTTTCTACGTATTGTAGCTCTAAAGCTTTCTTATTCTTCTCATTAGCTGTGTAGTTTTTATAATTTTTATCAAAATGTTCTAAAACAATACCAGGCAAAAAAAATTCATTTGAAAACTGATGAACATTTTGTACAACAATATTATTTCTTCGTATAAACAATGAATTTCTCCGATTGGTGATTTTGCATCGTAAAATGCAAAAATTTTCCAGGTTATTTGCCAATTTTTTCTGGTAGTGGAAAAAGAACAATGATCTGGCATAATTTAAGTTGGTTAACAATGATCTTTCACAATTTACTTTTGAAAGGTTGTTACATTTGGTTCGTTGTCCTGTAACCTAAAATACTTAAAAAATCATATTTGTTTCTTTCTATGTTGTTTGTCCTTTAGTGCTTAAAAATATTAAAGTACAGTGCAATTAATAAAATAATAGTTAGTGTGGCTTGTTGCTATAGAATTTAGAAAAGAGTTTATTGATATTCCTAAACAAAACTAAGTTATTGAACATACTAGCAGCAAAACACTTCATGAGGAACAATTGGTATAGGTTGCCATTGCACAAATCATTTAGCAGGCAAATGGGACGCGAAAAACTCAATCCTCTTTAGCAAGAGCCCTACCGTATTATCCATCAGTTTGCATCTTCCTCCTTTAGTGTTAGAAGGTTATTTGACAAATGTAACCTCGGCACGGTTAATTCGGATCTATTAAAACTCTGTTACGAACCGCTTTCTAGCTCGAACGCCCCGACAATTACATTGCCCGATAACAGAGTTCCGTATGGCCTCAAAATTCTGAGTGCAGTCCAGTCCGTGGACTAACAAAATCTAGTTCACGAGGAAAGGATATCAACTGTCTAATCGCTTTTAGGTTAAGACTCACTGGACAATAGGTAATCGGGTGTGCTGAATCCGAATATGACAATGGTTTTTGCTGCTAAGCTTTGGTAGAAGCAGTTTTCTAGAAACTCTAGAGAATAACCCAAAGCTTTCTTAATAAGGTGCAATTGTAGCCCGGGAAATTTCTGATTAAAATGAGACACATCTCCCAGCTCTACATGACCTTTCTTTGCAAAGTTATAGAGTTTACAAGAAAGGCCCTAAATGTTCATTGGCACCACAGAGCTACAGCAAGAAAAAGGAAAAAGGAATTTAAGGCTTTTCTTGTAAACTCTATAACTTTGCAAAGAAAGGTCATGTAGAGCTGGGAGATGTGTCTCATTTTAATTAGAAATTTCCTGGGCTACAATTGCACCTTATTAAGAAAGCTTTGGGTTATTCTCTAGAGTTTCTAGAAAACTCCTTCTACCAAAGCTTAGCAGCAAAAACTTTTCGGTTGAAAATTAATTTTTTTCTTTAGAAAAAAGGTCAGATTCGTAATCAGCGTGAAAAGCTGCGTCTAGTGATGTGCCTCTATCAATTTTCGGAAAAAAAAATTCAAAAAATACTTGATCAGCGAAGTGTTGCGTTACGTGGACAAGCCGTTAATCAGCCTACTTCAGAACACAATGCTTGCAAATACTTTCGTTTTGTAATACATTTCTTAACCCTTTCGTGCCGGGATTATTTTTTCACAAAAATAATCCTGCAAAAGTAACATACTTGCAACTCAAGAAACCTGATAGCTAAGACTTCTAATTCTATGTGATCATAGCTCTTACCGAAGGCGGATCACCTACCAACTTTGGAACTCTTTTATTGGATGGTTCATGAGATATAAGCGATTTATTCCTTTTCCGTAAAATATCAATAGCTCCTGACCTGAGAGAGATGAAAACGTTTTCTTTTTACAAAAGTGCAGTCACGACTCTACACTATCGAGGATATGAATTTCGTGAGTTGGCTGTTAGTAATCAGTGAAATGCAGCTATTTTACGGGAGAGGTTGGCCTTTTTTTGTTGAAAATTCGAGGTTCTTTGAGAAAGAAATTCACAGTTCCGTCTAGGCGCATCATTTTGGCTTCAATTTCGCACCAAGAACTCTACAGTATCTGTAGATTATCCAAGGTTAACTATTGTGTGATTCTAGAAATTCATTTTGGACGAGCACCCACGATTGAAGCATACGTATGAATGTACATCATAATCATGGAAATCTACGATTCCGAAAAGGTAGGTGAAAGTTTTGTCAGAAAGATTACACACTTATGTCTAACCTTCGCTATTTCACTTATTTTGCTCCTTTTCATTTCTCATACATATAGCGCTGTATGGGGATGACACCATAATGTTGGCGAGATAAGAGAAAGAGAGAGGAGTCTTTTAGATCGAATCTAAATGACATTATAACAATGGTAATATGTGCAAAAGTTCAGCCCGTATATATACGCGTCCATATTTTTTAACTCGTGGCTAGAAGTAATTTACTGCTGCTGAGACTAATCAAACACGTTTGATAACTGAAGTAAGATGGATTAATAACCGGCATTTAGAAGCTTGAAAAATATTTGATAAAGTCATATCAAACACAATTTTAAAAAACGTCGGAAATTATTTTACCATGGTTTGTCCTTTAATTAATGCGTACAGGCCTTTGTTGTTGCTGATGTAACAAGGCATAAAGCTCTAGAAGATAAAATGACGGCTCTTGTGCAATGCACTTTTCCATGATACGCTAACTCGTTGTTTGGTCTTTCAAAACCCTCATCCAACCATCATGTTTAACTACGCATAGTTCAGTCTTACATTTTTCGTTAAGCGGATCGAATCACTCCTACAAGTGTAAAACATACGCACATAATTTACATATGGCCATCTCTGACAAGCAAATAAGAGAAAGAAAACAAGAAAGATATTTTTCTTTTTCCAGAAAACTAAGAGTGAGAAATGATATGTACAATATGTATCTATGTCTGTTTGAACCGAGAGAAATATCGAGAAAAAAGGACAACAAAGAAAGTGAACGTGATGGTCATGTGTCTGCCATGTGAAAGGCCACAGGCCTGTAAAAATAGTATTCGTTGATATTTGACCCCCGTATTGGGTAGTGTTTCTTTTTCTTTAAGCCACGTGCCTATTATTATTTTGGATTGATGCATACATAATGTCTAATTTATGTGATTGTTCTTATGATGTAAAAGATACAATGGGCTTGTCTCCTTCTTCTCATCATTGTACTAACTTTTTATTTTCTTTCTATCTTTAATAAACTTTTTATATGAATGTAATTTACATTTTTGTGTAGATAGAGAAAAACAATGACAAATCTTTATGGTACATTGATTCTACAAAAACATTGATATCTACGTACAATATAGATATCGACTAGTAATGTTTAATATTCATTCTGCAGAAATAAACTGATAACAATGTTACCTTGTAAAATATCGATATTAATTTTATGTTTTCTTCTATTTTTTAAACACGTCGATAATTCGTGTAATCAACAATCGATAGTCGCTAGTGAAAAAGTTGTATATGTAAATTTAAAAAATGATCTCAATAATTTAATTAATACATTTAAACATAAATTGGTTGCTAAGTTTGCATCAATAGATAATACAACGATTACACCCTTGTTAAATACATTTACGTTAATGGAGAACGATCTTAAGAATATTACCAATTTATCATCATGTCTTGTGAAACAGCAAAAATTACTTCCACAAGCAGTTAAGACTGTAACACAAGTGCGTACAAATATTGACGAAACAAAAATAGATCCTGAATTATCAAATATAACAACAATTGCAAATGATACAATTATTTTTATCGACACATTCTTATTTAACTATACAGATAATAATAATTTAACTACTAAAAGTTTGGTGGATTCTATACATACTGTAAGAAGTAATATTAATAATATATTAACCCAATCACTAAAAACTGTTGGTCAATTGAGAAATATTGTGAAGAAAGACTTTGGCTTCATATTCAATATGTTCAGCGATATAATATCTTGTATTTTTAGTATTAATAATAATAAATTACAAATTTACGAAACACTTTTAACATCGACTCAAGAAGCAAATGGCCTTTTATCAAGTCTTGATGGTCAAATTAGTTCAACATTAGGCGTTTTACAAGATTATTCAATTAGTTTTGGACAAGAAGCTCTTGATGCAGTAGATAAGACACTATTTAAAGCTGTTAATCAACTTATTCAACGTATTGACACATTGCTTCTCATTTGAGAAAAAAATTAAGTTCATATTTGACGTTTGTAACATTCTAGTACAACTCTTCAACCAAATAAAGAAAGAAAACATTTAAACTAGAACTATTCATATCAATGGGATCTCTGTCGCTCTAACGGTTCCCTTTTCTGCCAATGACGTTCTGTCAATTGGCAGAATCACCTCTCACACTCTGCCAATTATAATAAATTTTGCCAGTTGGCAGAAAATCATGTAACATTCTGCCAATTGGCAAAAAAGTCCCGTGGGAACTTAGGGATGGTTTAACTTAGGACTACTTCTATATATAAAAGATGTCACTTTCTATTCTTCGTGTATTTATTTTTTTTCTCTTTCTGAATAGTCGACTTCAGACAAAAGTTCTCTAAGTTTAGTTAGGAAGTCCAATTGGTAGAGTGTCACAGACATTCTGCCAATTGGAAGAAAATCATGTGACACTGCCAATTATAAAAACATTTTGCCAGTTGGCAGAGATGTCTCCACACACTGCCAATTAATGACTTCCAAAGTAATGACTGTGGAGTAATCAAATTACTCGACATACGAGTGTTTTTACTGGATTTCCTTTTGCTCCATTAGAAAATTAGGTGCAAGCTCCGCGCCGGACCAAACTTTATGAAACTAAGGTGGTATATGCAGAATTTCACGGCGAATCCGATAGCGGGCTTCTTATAATTACATCTGGAGTTTTTCATTTGTCGCCACAGTTTTAGACTTAGAATAAATTTTGTCCTATCTGTTATTCGATGATCGAATGTATTGCCTATATAAAGAAAAAAAAACAGATAAAATGTGCGCATGGAAAGGGGAAAAGAGAGAAGAAAAAAAGTGACAGAACAGACAAACAGCCTAAATTCACTACAAGAAATCGTAGAGACTGTGGCGACACATGAAAAACTCAAGATGTAATTATAAGAAGCCCGCTGTCGGATTCGCCCTGAAATTCTGCATTTACCACCTTAGTTTCATAAAGTTTGGTCCGGCGCGGACCAACTTGCGGAACTTGCGCGTAATTTTCTAATGCATATGATCTAGGTTATATACTCTGGTGATCGTGAAAGTTTGGTTAACCCCTTTTTTGTTTGAACTTTTTTATTCATCATAAGTTCACACAACCGTGAGCTTTGCACATAGTTTCCTTCTCTTGCGGTAGATGATGCACTGAAGTACAAATCGTCGATTTCTTCAACTTTGAAAGATAACTCTGTCGAAACGAAGACGACACATGAGGCTGTCAACCGTATTTTCAGATAGACTCTGAACCGTTTTCAAAACGATTGTGACAATCTCAGGTATTTTTGTTTTTGATTTAGATTGCTTCAAAGCTACCACTTGGGAGAACATTTTTCTTCGAAACACCATGGCGAATTTTATCTCTAAATCTACGAATTGGACATGCGTCATTTACTGCAAGAGAACGAAACAACGTGCAGATCTCGCGGTTGCGTGAACTTGTAGTGGATACTATTTAGCGTGATCAGGATGCTACGATTCGTACATAATCATATATGATCCTATAAAATCGTACAAGATTATATATAATCTCGTACGATCTTGTAAGATCGGATACGCTTGATTGATAGGTAAAAAGTCTTTCCGCCACTAAGTTTCTACCAATTCGAAAAATTGGCAGTGTGTGACAGACATCTCTGCCAACTGGCAAAATGTTTTTATAATTGGCAGTGTCACATGATTTTCTTCCAATTGGCAGAATGTCTGTGACACTCTACCAATTGGACTTCCTAACTAAACTT